TCGAACCCATCTATGCCTGCCCCTCGTCTCCGCCTGCGACTGCGAAAGCCCGACCCTCCCAACCGCCATCCCCACCATGCCCCGCCCAAGTCAGAGTACGCGTCGCTCGAAGAGTGGCTAGGACAAGACGACCCGTTAGACGGCGAAGAGGCGCTTCGGATCACACAGGAAAAGGCCGAAGAAGAGGCCGAGCGCCGGCTGCAGATTGTCGAGGCTGCGGAACATGGAGTTCTAAGCCAGGCACGATGCAGCGTCTATGCGCCCGAAGCAGCCCCAGAGCCACCGCCACAATACGGACATTGGGACCACGTTGTCGCTCATGCCCTGCACTTCAACAAGCTATTGAAGGAGGAGAAGGCATTCCATCGGCGGACGGCCAAGATCTTGGCCAGAGAAGCATACGACTTCTGGAAGAACAAGTTCAAGCGCAAGAGCCAGGATGAGATCGAACAGGAAGAGACCGAGCGGCAAGTGACAAGATACAAGCAGCTCGTGAAAGATGTCAAGGACGCATGGGGCTTGGTCAGGGTTGAGATCGACAAGGAGCGTGTGGCTAAATATGAGGAGGAACAGTTGCAGCTCGGACACAAGGCCATGGACGACATGTTCAATCAAGCGCAAGAGATTCTGGGTGGTCGTAACGCCGGCGACGGGGCCTCCTCCTTGGTGAGCGAAGACCGTGATTTCGATGAGATGGAATCCGAAAGCGGGGTGTCGCATGCCTCACAACAACAGCACGACGACGATGTCATGTCTTCCAGCTCCGATAGCGAACAAGAGAATGAGCAGGACGAAGATGCGAACCTCACGGCCGAACAACTACGCGAGAAGTACGGACAACTTCCCGATCTCCCCGAGAGCAGCTCCGAGGCGGAAGTCAACTCAAACGACGGCGAAGACCATGACGACGCTGATTCCGAAGAGGGCACTCCTGCGCCAACACCTGATCCCGACCTCGATGTCGACAACACGAACGAGCTTCCAGAGAACCCATTTCAACAGACGAACGGCTTTCACGACCACGAAGAAGATGGGGATAAACAGAAGCCAGACTATATCGATCCTGCTACAGTGGAGCTCGATCAGGTTGATGATGCTTTGCTCGATTCTGAGGACGACAAGGGCTCGGAATCTGGTAGTGAAGCTTGGTCGAGCAACGAAGGTTCGGATAGCGAGGGTGATGGTCATGAAGAAGCCGGCTCGGAAGAAGACGACGAGGATGAGAGTGAGGGAGAAGACTTAGGCATGATGGGTTTCTTGGCACCTAAAGACATCAAGAAGCTGAAAGAGGCCGCCAAGACCGCGATTGACGATGTGGAACCGGAAGACCCGACAACTCAGCCCGAACAAACGAATGGCCATGCTACATCGCCCGCGGAAGTCTACGAGGAGAAGCCACATGTGAATGGTCATGATTCTGTCGCTGAAGTAGACGAGCCACATGTGAACGGGCATTCTGAAACAGAACCTGCTCCTACCGTCGAGGCAGCTGAGCCAACTCCGATGGAAGATGTAGTACATTCTAAAAGCGCTTCTCGATCACGGCATACATCATCCCCACCAAGGACCGAGGTGCCATCCTTACTACGCGGTACCCTCCGAGAGTACCAGCACGATGGTTTGGACTGGCTGGCGAACTTGTACGAATCCGAGACAAACGGAATCCTCGCAGACGAGATGGGTCTGGGCAAGACTATACAGACCATCTCACTTCTCGCCTACCTCGCTGTTCGTCGCGAGATATGGGGACCACATCTAGTCGTCGTACCCACTAGTGTCATGCTCAATTGGGAGATGGAGTTCAAGAAGTTCTTGCCAGGCTTCAAGATTCTGACATACTATGGCGACATCAATGAGCGAAAACGAAAGCGCATGGGCTGGCGCAACACTGGCAAGGACATGTACAACGTCGTCATTACCTCCTACCAGCTCATCCTCCAAGACGCAGCAGCCTTCAAGATGCGTCCCTGGCGTTATCTGGTACTTGATGAAGCCCACAACATCAAGAACTTCAAGTCTCAACGATGGCAGACTATGCTTAACCTTAGAACAGAGCGACGGTTGTTACTGACCGGTACGCCTCTACAAAACAACATCGATGAGCTTTGGTCGCTGCTCTACTTCTTAATGCCAGCTGGCTTTGCGGGAGAAGGTCGCATCGCGGGACTGGAGGAGTTTACCTTGGCTCTGAAGAATCCCACCTCGCAAATTCTCGATCAAGGTCGGCAGCAGCTTGATGCCGAAGCGCAGAAGGTTGTCAAGCGGCTTCACGAAGTTCTTCGTCCTTATCTGCTGCGAAGGCTGAAATCAGAGGTTGAGAAGCAAATGCCAGGGAAGTATGAGCACGTTGTCTACTGCAAGCTTTCTAAGCGGCAACGGCAGCTCTACGATGGGTTCATGGGCCGCGCCTCGACCAAGGAGATCCTGTCCTCCGGCAACTACATGTCGATTATCAATTGCTTAATGTCATTACGAAAAGTCTGCAACCACCCCGACCTGTTCGAAACACGAGCCATTGTAACGTCCATGGCCATGCCCAAGTCAGTCGCTGCTCAGTACGAGATCAAGGACCTTCTCATCAGGAAGCGACTGCAAGAGGGCATGGAAGATAAGCAAGTAAATCTAGACGCCTTGAACTTGGTGTTTGCGCGACGGGAACAGACGCAGTTGGGTCATGCTAGACGCACCTACCCTATTCGCGCCACACGGCCCCTGGAGGATCTGATCGAGCGCCAGACACGGCGCATCAACAAACCCATCGACAAGGGCACTTCTTCACTACAAGCGACCATGGCAGCGATGGCGAAGCGAGAGCAAGTGGCCGTTCGGGACCATTTGCAAACATGTCTTAACCTTACTCGGGCGCGTACCCAATTTATGCCGATTTACGGAAAGGACATCATTGACGCACTGACCGTCGATTGGCACGATTTCACATTTGGGGCTATCACTGAGGGGAAGAGAGTGGCTAAGCCTCTCCTGTACCGAACGCATCACACACCACACCCTAACTATCATGGCTTCGGTCAGGCTCAGATGCAACCAAGACAAGAGGAAGCGATTCACTATGACATCGTTCAACGACACCATGGTCTACTCGGATTTAGGTCACCGCGCTCTCATCGTGTCTTGTCTCACTGGCACGATCAGCAAATCACCCATTTCTATGATATGATCCCAACATTGGAGCAGCGTGCTGAGGCTATGGAGCCGCTCATTACCCGCTTCACATGCGTTACGCCTGCCGTTGCAGCCGAGGAATTAGCACCTTTGACCCTATCCAGGCGCGGTGTCCAGCTGATTCGATCGTCGGAGGCAGCACACGAGAAAGACCCCTTCCATTCTTCGCGCATCCGACAATCGATCGCCTTCCCGGACAAGCGTCTCCTTCAATACGACTGTGGCAAGCTTCAGCGTCTTGCAACACTCCTTCGAGATCTACAGGCTGGTGGCCACCGTGCGCTCATCTTCACCCAGATGACAAAGGTTCTCGATATTCTCGAGCAATTCTTGAACATTCATGGATATCGCTACCTGCGGCTTGACGGATCTACCAAGATCGAACAGCGCCAGATTCTTACTGATCGCTTCAACAGTGACCCTCGCATCTTATGTTTCATTCTGTCATCTCGATCAGGTGGTCTTGGTATCAATCTCACGGGTGCTGACAGCGTCATCTTCTACGACCTTGACTGGAACCCGGCGATGGACAAGCAATGTCAAGATCGTGCTCATCGTATCGGTCAAACGCGCGATGTACACATCTACAAGTTCGTCAGCGAATACACCATCGAAGCAAATATCCTCCGCAAGTCGAACCAGAAACGTCTTCTCGACGATGTCATTATCCAAAAGGGTGACTTCACCACAGACACCTTCAATAAAGTCACCTGGCGCGATGCACTCGACGAGAACCTGGGAATCGACACCAACGACGAAGCGGGTGCAGCCATGGAACGTGTGCTCGGCGAGAAGATTGGACTCCTGGGTGACGCACGTGTCATGGGCACAGTGGAAGACACTGAGGATCGCACGGCAGCTTCCATCGCACAGAAGGAGATTGTGGACGAGATTCAAGAAGACCAAGTCGACTTCAACGAGAGTCTCAACGCCACGAGAGCCGCCTCGGAAGCCGCTGCTGCCGCCAAAGCGAACGAAGACCTCGATATCGACGGCAACGAGAAGGAGCGGAGACACGTCGATGAATACATGCTTAGCCTGTACCGGGAAGAGTACGGCAAAGAACCGTACCGGCCGCCAACGGACCGGCAGAAGAGGAACCGAAAGGGACAGGATCCTCATGTGCGGCACAGAAAGAAGAAATACTAGTAATACGCAATTCTTTCTATTGAGCGACTTTGGGGTTTAGCGAGCGTGTTGGAAACGGGAAAAATTATGTATTAGTAGTTGTACAATCGTAGAAAGAGCGAGTAGCATTTGCATGGTCTGGCGTTTTCTCCGAAAGGGAGAAAGAGAAATGAGATAAGTGTACAATCACGCTGAAGAAGTACTGCAGCTACGGTGAATGAGTAGGCATGCCTGACGCGAGAGTTCTTTGGCCATGCTGCCAGCATAAACAGTGGAATAACGAACCCGAAGCTACGGAGTCCTTCTTTCAGGCACTTTAGCATTCTGGTAAAGGAGGAAGAGGCTTCGCTGTGTAAGGACCGCTGCGGATGTAGAACGGTGCAATCCAAAGCCCGCCACTCAAAGTGGAACTTGAGGACTACATCGGTCCGAACGGTGAGTAAGTTCCAACCGTTGGTGATATGTACACCTCAAAGCGAAAAGCAGACGGTAGTCTCTAGTCGGTGAACCCAGCTCATCACCGCTTACTGGACCCTGTATATCGCTCCTGCCTCTCCAGCTCACTGCCAAGACCGCGCTACTAGATCCAGTCACTTCTCACCGTCGCAGTCACCGTCACATCAATACAAGTTTTCTTTTGGGGTACCTGTCACGACTGCGACCAGCTATCACGACAACCACAACCGTACGCGATGGCGACTCCAGAGAAGAAGGAGGAGCCCAAAAAGGTCAGGCCGTTGCTCGAGCTGGCCAAATGCTCCAAAGCTACTCATCCGCCTAACCCGTAAGCACCAGTAGATTTTTACGATTAAGCAAGTGGCTAATATGTGAAGTAGTCAAGACTATGGCCCGATCATCACCGTTACAGTCGGCAATTGGAGCTCGAAGCGCGAGTTCCACGTCTACGAAGGCCTTCTCTCTCACTACTCCTCCTACTTCAAAGCTGCCGTAAAGGATTGTTGGGGTAATTCAAAGACTGTGGAGCTGAAGGACGATAACCCGGAGGTTTTCCAGGCGTTCTTTCACTGGGTCTATACAGGAAAGCTCTACTTCGCACTCGACGCTTCAGGGGAAGTTCCTCTAGACTTTCCCCTCATCTACGAGATCTACATTTTCGGTGATGCTCGCGGGGCTCTTGATCTATGCAATGCCGCTATCGACCTTCTTATTCAAAAGATGGATCAGGAGTGGGCGTTTCCACAGCTGCACCTCTCCTACATCTATGAGAACACATTGACCGGATCAGCTCTTCGAAAAGTCCTTGTGGATTTCGCTATAGACACCTTTCGGTTCACGGATCTAGTCGATCCAAGCCAGCGAGCGAAGGAAATGGTGTCTTATCCTCACGAGTTCTTCGCTGAACTGGTCGTGGCTTTCATGGCTCTTGGGGCAGAACCCATTCCATCATGTGTGGGATATGCGACACCGAGCGGCGGCAAGACCTCCGATTGGGCAAGTTTCATCAAGCCCTTGATATGTTCAAGATATCACGATCACCCAGCACCTCCAGCTTGATCGCGTTGGTGTCGGTATGACGCTCTATGCGCGCGGGAAATTCGGTTTGGAGAATACATGATCGCTCTTGTCTCATGACACAATGGGATAATGATGCCGGACAACTACGGGAGGGCGGCTTTACGACGCAAGCTTGAATCACCAGGATCTTGATAGTTGGATGAATGGAAACGTATTGCCCACTCCCTTCGGTGATCATCTCGACGAGAGAAACGTGACATGTCTTTCGCACCTCGTCTGCTATATTTCCTACTCGCTCTCTCTCTCTCTCTCTTTTTGACTCAGCCGCAGCAAGCAAACAGCGGGTGCCGCCGTTTGCAGCCCGGCATATGTGGTCTCCTGTAGCGAAAATCTCGACCGCACCCAACTCTGCACTTTATAATCCAATTTGACAACCAAAACCTCCACATACGACCATAGGATCTTGACAACCAGCGCTTCCCGTTCGCTCAGCGGTACTTAAGCAGGATACCGGCGGATTAGTACTCGGGTGGGTGACCACCGGGGACCACCCGCTGTTGTATGTTTTTGCCTATTTTCTCCTCTTTTTTTTTGGCCATCATCATGTACTCTAAAGAAACGTCAAAAGAAGGTATGTAATGTTTTTTGGGGGTTGTAGAGCTGAGTTGAGGCGGGAAGAATGATATGTTTCGATACCTACACTAGCTGGACGGCGAAAGTCCTTCACTTCCACTCTCGACCGCCTCTTCCTGATCTCTATCGCCAACATCATCCTCGTCTGTATTTGCTGTGTCGACCTCCTCCTCTCGTTCCAAGTACGGCGGGGGTGCCAGTTCTTCGGTCTCGCCCTCCTCATCTTTCCCTTCCACCCACACCCTATTCAACTCTGTCTCGATTTCTTCTCTCCTCTTCTTCCACTCCTCGACTTTGGCAAGCCTTTCCCTCAGCTCTGCCAACTCCTTCTCGACGCTCGACTTCTCAGATTGTGTGCCTATGCGTTGGAAGTCCCATTCGTCGCCGTGGTCGCCCATGCCGAGGGTTAGTGTGTAGTCGTGGTAGCGCTTGAGGGATGCGCGCGTGGATATTGTGATCAATGCTGGAGTGTGTGGGTCAGTTGAAGTCATCATGACAAGGGAAGTGGGATACTTACTAATGCCCTTGGCTTTCGCGCGTTCGTAGAGTAGGCCTTCCACATCGCTACTGACTGCACTGGTGCCCTCGTCCACGAATGCGTATCGCGGTTCGTGGTAAAGTAGCCTCGCGATACCCATCCTCTGTTTCTCACCACCACTGAAGACGTCTTTCCATACTTTCTTCGTGTCCCAGCCGCCTTCTCGATCGGGCAAGTAGCCCAGCTTGGCTTCTTCAAGGACCTGAGAAAGTTCAAAGTCGCGACGGCCAGCATCCTTCATATCGGCATCGGTGTGAGGATAGATGACTTGGTCGCGGAGGGTGCCAGTGGAGAGGTAAGGTCGTTGAGGAAGGAACATGATGCCGTCTACGCCGATGCTGCGGGGACGACTGACGAGACCGCGGTATGCGGGCCAGAGACCAGCTACAATGCGCGAGACGGCGCTCTTGCCGCAGCCATTGGGGCCGGTGATGAGGAGATGCTCGCCGGAGTGAACGATGAAGGATAGGGATTCTAGGAGTTCTTCGCCGCCCATGGGGTGCAGGGCTGGGGCGACGACTGGAACGTGTTCGAGGCGGATTCCATCGAAGCCCTTGTGGACTGTGCCTTGGATATCGGAGACGGAATAGAGTTCGGGTCGTGTACCGGGTGGAGGGTAATATGCTTCTGCGTGGACGCGATGGAGAGTGCTGATTAGGGTGTAGACGCGTGATGTGTAGCCGGCCAGTTCAGAAAGATCCTTGATGCTGTACATCATGCGACCGCCGGCATCCGCAAGAGACAGCATGAGTCGCTTATTCGTGATAAAGTCCTTCATACGGCTTCTCTCGCGGTGTGATTTCTCTCCTCCAGGTAGCTCAGGTGTGCCTCCCACGCCACCCCATTCGGGTAAGAAAACTGGGAGCGAAGTAACCAGGTAACCGAAGGCCGACCATGAGTACTTCAGCACGAAGTCTTCAAGCATGTTGTACCGGATCTTGAGGCTGTAGATGCCCTCCATCCAGTGCTTGAGGTCCTTGAATCCTCGCTCGAGGAAGTGCTTTTCCATCTCGTCGCCGCCGTAGAAAGCCACTTCCTCGGCATTTGCAATGAGTCGAGAGTGCAGAGCGCGGAACTCGCCTTCTCTTCGTCCTTCGACAGCTTTGAGTTTGCCAAAGGGCGGAGACAGTTTTCGCAGTACTGTCGCGGTGAGGAAGTAGTTGCTCAGCAGTCCGGTAAGCGCTAACGGCCCTAGAGAGCGGTAGAGCTGGTAGTTGAACACGCAAAGATCCACAAACGGCTTTCCTAAGCTCGAGTACAAGGATGCCGCACTCGCACAGAAAAGCGTCAGATCTTGTGTGATGTATTGGTCTGCCCCGACGCCTACACCTCCATCCAGATTCTGTAGCTTGTAGTAGTTCAGATGGTCGTTCAGGTACAAGTCGTGGATGTACCGTGTGAGTCGCGTTCGGAACGCGATGGAGACTTTACTCTGCAGGAACTTGATCATAGCGTTCGTGTACGAGGAGAATGTGCCGACACCAAGCCATTTAACTATGCCCCACAGGAATGCCTTGCCGTTGCCTGCCACGAGGTCGCGCACGATCTCTCCGTCGAGACGCGCTACGACGAGTGACAGATACGTCCGCAGCATAAGGAAGACGCTATGGCTGACCAGCAGACCTGTCTCCTTGCTATTCCAACGCGGTATCATGATATTCAGTAGGCTGAGGAACTGGTGTAGGAAGGCCAAATTGAGACCGGGCTTCGTCTGTGGCGGCGGCGCTTGCGGGTCGCTCGAGGTCGTGTCAGCCATGCGGGCTGCGCGTGGCGGCTGGAGGAAGAGTCTGCGATGCGCATCGAATGTGGTCTGTTTGGTGGGATGGATGACCACCTTGGACGTCGAGTCGCGGTAGGGTACGTAAATGGTCCTGGAGCCATCTTTGTTCCTGAGTCCGGAGTTCCTCCTCAGCAACCGTCGGCCGGTCTCCTTCTCTGCGCGTCGGCTCTTGTACCATCTCGTGCCACCATATCCGGTGCCTATGATGGTGAAGAGGAGGGTGATGGTGGATAGCAGCTTCGTGAGCTTGGATGCGCCGCGGACGCGGGACTTGAGGAGCGTCGCATAACGGTCGTAGAGTGCTAGGAGCGGGTCATGAGGCTGTCGCAAGGTAGACTGAGCGGCCATTGTTGACCGTGTACATCCTCTCTGGGAAGACTGTCATCTCTCGCAACGGCGGTGCTGGAGGTTGGAGATGGTGTAACTTGCATGTGAGCCAGTGCTATGATGCTTGCTGCGGTTTGAGCCGAGGCATGTGAAGGTGCACGTGCACTGGGGAAATCCGGGGTGGCTCCACAACAGCGCGACAAACACAGCCGCAAAGCTACTGTCGTCTCAATAGCCGCGCATCGACGACATAGATTTAAACATGTCACTCAGAGTATAAGAACGAAGGACTTTTGATTAACATTACTAGGTGATAAGCTCGACTACCACCAGCCACGAGAAACCGTGGTTATTAAACAGCAGCAAAGCGCCTCCAATGCACCCCCAAATCCTTTCGATTATCGATCCTCCCCATTAGCTCAAGCCGTCGAAGATTCTTTGTGTTCAATCTGCTTCATTATCATGCACAGTTGGCTCTTCAGCCAGCCTCCTAGAAATTCATACAGGTGCCCCGCCTGCTCGCAAGTATCGCCATTACCTCCCCAATTAGCCAGTGCCTCAACGAGTTGCGCACATCCTCGCAACTCATTGAGGATTATCTGTCTTCTATGTCTCTCTTGCTCACCGTCGTCAAATTTGTACTGAGTGAACGGAGATGACTGCATGTACAGATTGTAATTTTCCGCGTCCCCAATGCTCGTCCCAGACGAAGGGGAGAAAACAGTCTGCGAGAAAGGCGGAGGCTGGCAGTAGTTCCAAGAAAGTGATGTCGAGACTGGGTAGCTCGTACGGGGTCCGCGACTAACGCTAGCAGCGGTTTGATACCAGGCCAAAATCTTTGATGTTATGCTGGAGTATAGCATAGCAAGATGTGGGTCTGACGAGCATGAACACCTGAGAAGCCGCAAGATGTTCTCTCGTGCTGACCGGACAGTATGAAGAACGGCATCGAATGAATCCCTTGACTGGCCCGGGTATGTGACGTGTGGCAGGCTCTCGAGCGTCGAATAGGCCAGCGCATAGCAACTATGGCAGTTGTCTGTCGTGACTTCGGTGCAGGATGCCATATTGTCGTGTCCTCCTGCGGTTTGGCTCATTGGACTATACGGAAAAGATATAGAAGAGGCCGAACGTAGATGCTCCACAGTCTTTGCACCGCCAGGGTGATAGTCCGTGGGGTTTGCGTCATCGCCGCTGATGTAGTCGTTGAGAGTATCCCAGGTGGGATACTGAGACTGTACCGTCTGCTCCTGAGTGAAAGGATCTTGGAAGAACTGGTCTGTCCCAGTGGCTGACATATGTTCCGGCTGAACATGTTGTCTCGACAGGACGTCAGTGTTCATATAGGTGGTATCCTGGAGGATTTCATTCGGGTATGGTGGTTCAGGTGCAGTCTCGGAGTCGAAACCTGAAGGAGTGGATAGGCTTGGTGTAGGCGACCAGTCTGAAGGCCAATTCGACGTGGCTTCCGAATCGGTCCGCCGAACGGAAGGAGTTTGTAGCATGAATGTGCCGAACTCATTGCCACTTGGTGATGGGCGTTGCCTTGTGACTTTGACAAACGGAGACCCATCTGGGTTCCTCTTCCTCACCCGGCCTGGCTTTCCGTGTTTTCTCGAGACGCCGTATATGCACTTCGTGTGGGTTTGGAGGCAACGCGCACAGTTCGGATGCTCTTTGCTGCACTTGACTTTCGACGCGGCACAGGCGTCGCATGAAGCCCGGAGCTTCAGATTCCCGTCCCGCCGAGGTGTAAATGGT